AACTCCCTCGTGGAGGTCAAGGTCGAATTCACGGTGTTCACTGTATTCATCCATGCGCGAATTTTGTTCCGGGGAAAGATCGGAAGAATTTAAAATCTAACTTTCAGCTCAGATTTCTATTGATAAACTTAAATCACCCTATAGCCGCAATTGTATTAATACTGAATTGTGGAATAAAATTGAAGTGTTTGTTAAAATTTCAAAGTACTTCTTTGGTTGTCAATCAGCACGCGACAATACGCTGTTCACATTATTGAACGAAATTGTGTGAACCGTCGAAAAGGCGGGCATTTTTAATCTAAAATATAAATTATAAGTTAAAAAAGAACATAAGAAGAAGAGAAAGCGTAAATATAAGTAATGAACTGTTTTTGAATGGTATTTATGATTTATTTGAATGACACAGCTTTGCACGCAAACAACTCATAATGCGCTGGCCTTTGAAACCATGTCTAGGTTATTACGCACATGTGAAAACAGGCAAATGTTTTTTTCAACGCCTAGCATGTTCACCTATGCTTCGAGAGTAAAGTAATATAATAACGGTTATACCGAAAAACACATATCATCCGTAGAAAAAAGCTGACCACGAACTAGACAGAAAAAAAGCATTGAACTCACCAGGTCGTTTACAGAATACTAATATTAACCTATTGCTGTCAGCTAGAACACATTTTAACGACCTGCTTTGCTATTTGATGAAAATTTCCTATATTTGTTGCGAATTAGTGGAATTAGCAGGCGACAAGAATTAGTATCCGTGACCACTGTTAAAGAGTCACCATTCCCAGAGGATTAGCGGAACACTTTACACGTTCAAAAAGGGAGAAAATAATTGATACGAAAAAGGTACCAGAGGGGAAATGCAGTATTAATTAGGTTGGTAATTAGCAGATGTAGTAGTGAAACGGTCGACACCAGTTTAATCGTACATTAAACCCATTTATTAGTTTTGGGTAAGGTCAAAAGGTACTCCGAAGCACGAGGATATACCTGACCTAGGGCCAATACTTACTTGTACAATAAAGCTTGTATTCCAAAAGTGCAAGGATGGAGGCATTTCAATGATACGCTGGGATTTATTTGTTACTTCGTTCGCAATGAATGGTTACAGTATTTATTTCAAGTTTGCAAAAAGCACCTCTTTTAGGGAGAAAAGAAACATTAGTGTAGCCAAGTGCAGATACATGTATGTGGGATAGAACATAATGTGCCGTCAAGCAAAATAATTAACATAAATCACTATCCTGTGGCGATCGTCAAATAAGTTGCAACATACAACTGTGCAGTGGAATAAAGCAGTCTGTACCGTATCTAATGATCTGAAGTGGCCGGAGTGGTGCGTAGTTTATGTTATTAGTTCATAATTAGTTGTCAAACAATATTATATAATAAGGCTTTATCGAAGCATCCCTTTCAGACGTAGTGTGTCCGCTATAGTTGTCGGTTCGGTTAAAATTCATGAAGTAAATTTAACATTTATCGTAATTAATTAGTTATAGATAATGCACAAACAAAAGATCTGCAATAAAGGTAGCCCATATGTACATCAGCGTATTCCTTTATTTGCAGATGTACATTACCTACAGATTTGCTATATCTTAGTACATATGTAACGTTAGAGAACAAATATGGGTCGCCCTTCAGACACATTTGTTTGTTTGTTTTGTTTGTGTCTTCTGCTTAGGACATTGAAGAAAAACCAAAAAAATCATTTTCCATTACAACAGGAGGAACTATTATTGACAAGGGCAATCATTTTAAATTTGCATAAACACAAAATGTCATCGATCACTATGATTATTAAACAAAATTAGGTTAAAATTAGTCATGCGGAACAGGTACCTCAACCATTTGTAGGTCATGTCTTTCACCTTAAATTAGAAATATTTATAAGAGTAGAATTACATTTCAGGGCCATAGTTTTTATCACGGAAAAAAACCTATAAGCTACCCGAGCAAATAAAATCCAGTGATGATCATCCAGTACTTTAATCGGAATGTGGGTATCCACATTAGTAACATCTGTGTACAAATTGGACTTTAAGACCAAAAATAGTTTTATTTCATATTTGTTTTGACTGAATCACAGAACTAGTTGTAATAAATCAACGATTGTGTAACAAGGTTATTTTATTGCGCGAGGATTTACAACCGCTTTGATATCAAGGACAAGAGAAGAATTGAGGAAAATGTCGATTTTTTGTCACGTTAACATTTTTTTTAAGAAATCCCCCAATTCTACAAAGTGCTATGCAAGTCGACCTTTTACAATGAAAATAGAAAAAACAAAAACTTAAAACAAAAACAAACAAAATAACGAACAAAACATAAAACAAAAACAAACAAGCGCAAAGATAATTAATTAACAAAAAACGATGTCTTGTTTGTAACAATTCAACGGGATCCTACAAGGATTCAAAATGTCTAACTACATCATGCTGGATTGCTGGACATGTGGGAATTCCGCGAAAGCAGCTGAACTGCTACCACTTGTTGATTTTAACTTTCTTTTTAATGATTTTACACCACTTAGAACAGGTTTTATAAGACCACAGTGACGAAATCATTGGCATCAATGCTTAGACCACAAATAACACACTATTAAACCTGACTCGGTAAATGACATCCTAGCTACAAAGAGAGGCGCCGAGACGAATTTGTCCTTGTCCGTCTTCGGATGGGTCATTCATACGTTACTCATTGTTATTTATTGAACTTGAAGACCAGCCTCAATACATAGCGTGTCAAGAACCAGTTACAGTTATACACTTGTTATTAGATTGCATCGACCTTCAGCCAACGGGAGAAAATTTCTATAATAACGTTACATGGCTTAAATCTTTTTTTGAAACAATCATTGTCACTACAGTTTAAAATTTTCTGAAAGCAGTTGGTCTTTAAACAAAATATGAGTCACTGCAGCCACTTTTAATACTCAAGTTGACGTTTGTCTTATACATTTACGTTTAATTTGTTTATATTTTGCATTTGGTTTTTACTTCTGATCTTTTTACAACGTCCCTCTAACCATCTTTAGATACCTGGTGGACGGTAATGCTCGTGCCCCTGACCCAACCGCGCTATAGCTTACAAAAACGCATCATTGTAGGAACGTTACTGTTTGAATGAAAAACAATATGTTGGAAACCTGTAGTTATTGCCTATAGTGGAACAGGAAACATTGATTTTGTACCAGTTTAAACTGTTATTCATATTTAAACTAAAGCCCCCGCATTAACCCCTCCCCCATACTGATTACATTAGCATGATTACCGCTATATTTACCTCATAATGTCCTATTCTAACTAGTGAAGTTCAACGTTTGAAGAGGATATTAGGAGAATATCGGTCCAGTGGTTATAAGATGTCAATTAGAACTTTATCAGAATAATACTAATTCCATTTACAGCATTATGTGCATCCATTTGTCAGATAATTACATCAAGGACCATAACACTTCACTCATGATTGAAACAACATGGCGACTACACACGCACAGTTTGAATGTTAAATGAAAGGTAAAATGTTCTAAATCATCTTATAGCAGTTGATACCGAGTACCTGGGCCTCCATTAGAGTCACAAAGGCGAGACATGCACATTGACGTTAGGACTTGCAGTATTCACCCTTCTTTATGGGATATGAAACAACCAGGTTGTTTTATTTGCGTTGAGTAACCTCCTATGTTAAGTTTTAATTACGCTTTGTTGCCCATCGTTGATCACAGGGACCTGAAAATTTGTTACAGCTCGTATATTATCATACTTGGGCCGGCAGTTTTACCGAATATTGATCTAAAAAACCCAAACTACTCTAAACACCTTAGTTTAGGTCCAAATATACATATATGTAGCTGAAACAAATTATCAGGTCCCTGTGGTTTTGATATTTTCCCTTCATCATTCAAGTTTGACAGCGTTAGTAAAGTGTAGACTTTGACATGCGAAGGTCTCGATTTTAGCATCTGAAGTTTACAATTTTCCTCTTTTTATTTCCATTGTCAAACAACCACATTTCGAACAACTACAATTCTGTTAAGTGCATGGTAACAAGCATTGTTTTATGGTAATCTCTTTGGGCTTTGAAGTACTTCAATTAATTTTCCACTACAATTGTATATTGACAATGGTAATAACTTAACTTTTTGGTACACCTAGACGTAACTAACACCAATTGTGTATACTTGTACAAAAACTTACGTAATTAGAAATGTGGGTATAATTTAGTTTAAACATGTTGTATTGTCATGCCAATGGATTAGGCACAAGTTAATAAATTTATATTAAGCCTTTCCCAGCAAATTACAAGCAACTTACAATATGACGACCAGATGGCAGACTTCATTAATAGAGAGAGAATGAGAGAGTGTGTGGGAGGAGGGCGTTTTCTCCATGCAAACGAAACTAATGATATCCGATTCGCTGTTCAAAACTTTCTGCTTTCGGTGTAATATTTCATTCAAGTGAAGACTTAAAATTAATGCACAGCCATATGTGTTTGGGTGGTATACATCTAATATGTTAGTTTTTTTAGAGAAAATTTGAAGTATGAGTCGGTATCAGGATTATTCATAAAACCAGAAACATCAAAACAAAGAATGAATTAATATTTTCAGTCTTTACAATAATAAGATAACTCATAATCTAAATAGAAATCATAAGGTGTTCTTTTACTATAAACCTGGCATACAGTATGTATATGAAACATGTCTAGTTGTATACTTATTCAAAACGTATGAAACATGGTTGAGGAATGAATATTAGCACTGTTTCAGATCTATCTATTTATCTAATCATTAATCGATTTATTTATTTACGTTGACGTCGTTACACTTAACAATAACAAAAAATGTTTTCAAACACCATGTAAAATGTTAAAATAATTATTAAGTTTATTAGAATGAAATAAACCTTCACAATTGGCAGAAGATAGACTAACCGTAGACATATATAAAACGTCACGTGAGTAACAATACCTGTAACTTGAGTTTTAAATACCTGTATCGCTCGTCCAAATCCTAGAAGAACTACATCCGTGAGGACAAGAATTATCCATACTTGAGGTAACTTCGACAAAAACGGTATGACCGTTACCATGGTGAATCTTGTGGTGTGTCAAATTAGTAAGTGACCCAGGTTTGAATCTGACTTCCAAATTACGACAACAGTGACTTGCGTGGCAGCTGTTGAGATGTGCGTGGTTTGCGCGTTGCTTATATACCCTGCCAGTGATCTGTGGTTATTGAAGTGTTAATTGCCGACCAATTGTTCTATTACACAGTGACGGAGTTCACAATTATCCATTAAATATTCATTCGTCAACTTGTCTTACGACACTTTAGGATGCAACTAGTCCAGTGTCGGCATACCCGTGAGAGTCACGCGCTGTTAACAGGGTGTGTTGGTTAATGCGTTGCTTGCGCCTTTAACATATCGATTTTTAACATGTTAGGACGCGTGTTTCCTACGTTTCTCGAATACAACTGATATACGAGATTGTATCGTTGGTTAACATTCCCTATGGCTATTCATCGGAGCATTGATGAACACGTGCTGATAATAGGTGGTCTGGCATTACTTCTTTTTTTTCTTAAATTTTTATTTGTTTTCTTTATTTGTTTGTATTTTTACGCTCTATCTTATAATTGCGAACATAATGTCTTAGACAGCTGATTAAAACTTAAAGAAATAATATGTTATCTATTTACCTGCATTGTTGAATTTTGTAAGCAAGCATCCTCTATACAGAAAAACCTCGATATAATGTCATTCGTTCCATTTGCCAACTCGTCTACCGACAACCTATTTCAATCTCCCCTGTGGTCGGGAGGTGCAGTGGATAGCGCACTCCGGTTTCCTCCTACACTAAACTAAACCCCACCCCACCAACCAGCGCTAACATCCGGGCCAACTAGAGTGATTGATATAAATTGAAAGAACTTGTTTCATAATTGTTGTAAAATAAGTTTACATATAAAAAATATCACCTTTCATTATTTTTTTTAAGAAACTCTCTATACGTTTCCCTCAATTTATCGCCAAACAGCTTTGAAACGCCAAATTTCTTTGACAGTTGTTAACATTTATTAAGGCTTTATTGTATGTTTTATACTGTATAAGTGATTGTTTTAATGTATTGTTGAGTATATAATTAGTATCAAAGTGTTCGCTGTAAGACGCCATCCCCAGGTTTGTGCATAAAGATAAATTGGGATCGTTTAAGGAAAGGATTTACCTCAGTCCCAAAAGAGCTATCGGCAACTGTCAATAGCTAGGCAGACAATTTTTTTTCTTTGTAAACTACTCTTTGTCATGATAAGTACAAATAAGAAACGATAAAAATGTATCCTTTGAATGATCTCGTCTACATCGTGAATGTCAAGACGGTATTAGACAAGCGTATGTCACTCATCGCATACTCTAGTGGCGACAATTCCATCCCTCGTTCTTTAGTGCTACAAATTCTCACACGAAACTGCTGCCGTGTGGGTTTTAAACTATGGTTTCTAGTTAATGTCAATCAGACAATGTCTCCCATTCATTTTGTGGATTTTGATTAACATAAATCGTTTAAAGATGATTGATTTTGACACTCCCGAGACTAACGTATTTCCATTCATCAGAAATATATGAAGGACAAAATTCCATAAAAAACATTGGTTCAAATTATCTAGCGTCTTCTTTTATCCTAGAATTATCGATTATGTGTTCCAACTGATTTCCTAGGCAGCTTATCAACACATTACAAAAATCAATTGAATTAATTGCTGTTAAGCTAAAATGGTTTTGTAATTAAAACCATGATTTATATGTCATGATACAAAATATCAATGCTCCTACGATAAATTTATAGTTAATTACATTAGACATCTAAATGGCGTATCAGTGTGTTGGTGTTGAAAGTGGATATTCCAGATTTGGAAAATGTATGAATCTGCGAAATAATGGAGGACAAAGATTTTGCCTAATGACGTATCTCTGGCGTCACATCCAGTGCGCCATTTCACGGCTGCTGAGTTATTGATATTTCCGTTTATTTACAATTGCCTTATTAAGCGGATTATTAGATTTTTATATATGTCTATTTTTATTTTTTAAAGGAATATTGTCAATGATGACGTAGATATAAAAATATGAATCAATGTTTCATATTGGTATTACTATTGGTAATGCGAAAATAATGTTATGGCTTTATAATGAAAGAATGGTCGGAGTTACTTGTCCAGTCTTTACAAATAAATCTGAATGATATAGTCATAAATTATTTTAATGCAATGTTAAAAAAGGGCAATTAAGAGCTTGAGAAATATTCAAAATGACAAAGTAGCGCTCTCCGTGTTGAAATTGTCATAACCTAATGCCAACTCAACAGGTCATAAGAAGATTCGTAACTAGGGAAACAACACTGAAAATAGGAATAGGTACATTTGTATAGTGAAAAAAGGAAAGGAAGTCCAAAGTGTTGCATTTTAGGCATTTTTTGTCTTTCCAATTACGAAGCGGTAGACATAGAAGAAACCCTACTTCCTAGCGTATGGTAAATCCTACGTGTACCTTTATGCCAAGGCATCCATTTAGCGTACCCCCTACCTTACCTCCTATCTTATCCTCCTCAATGCTTACCTGATGACTTGCCCCAAAGCTTACCTACACTTCTTTTCGTGTTTGCTTTCAATCTTACCTCCTGTTGTACCTAATAGGTTATAACTTGCTTTCTGTAAGGGTTAATGTCCGAGTGACTGTCCATTCCTTAAAAATAATGGAGCCGAGGCCCCGAAGGGGCCGAGGCCCGTTGTTTTTAAGGAATGGACAGTTACAAGGACATTAACCCGCTTAAAATACACCACCCTTCTTGTACCCCGTATCTGTCTTCTTGTTTTTTACCTGTACGTCCACTCATGTGGAACAAGTATTGGAGACTTATCCATTTGCTGCTGGTGGGTAGAGGTATGAAAAGCATGGGTAGGTATGAAAAGCATGGGGAAAATGCTAGTGTATAAGAGTAAGGGCTAGGTTTTGTCCTTTGTACCAGTCAACAAGATGGAATCAAATGATGAGGACGTGTTTTTAACTCAGAGCACATTTTCAAGTGCAAGTTTACCAGACTCTGAATATGACACTGATAATGCTATACAAGACATCTTAGGTATGAGAGAGGATAAAGAAAACATGCCTAACTATTCACCACATTACTCGGATATCAGCGATGATGACAGTTTGATACAGACAGCAGAAAAAGCAGAGGAACGTGATGTTTTGGAATTGTGGCCGAATCGCTTCAACCTACCCAAGACTGATACAGAAATTTCAGAATTACAGTCAAGAAGGTGAGATTTACTATATATTAATATAAGACTACAATATCGTCCTTTTTATGACCTTATATTTCATTATATTTCCATTTTTTTTATGAAATTGAACCAGACAGGTTAAACAAGATTTACTTTTCTTTTCTAAGTTGATAAAATTATCAAATTATGGCCAGTGAACACTAATTGCTGCTGAGGAATAGTATTATTTCAAATTCATAACTTCTAATGTTCTAAGATTAATAATATATACAGTAAACAATGTATATTAGATAAATGATATGCTCCATTGATTTCAATCCAATTGAAGCAATTAAAAGTACAATAAAGTACTTTTCTAATATAAAATGTAGTATGAGTATTCATGTAATTAAAGTATTTTACTTTATATGTATTTTCAGACTAGCTGCCTCTACCATGAGCAAAGTAAAATGGGCTGTAAACACGTTTAAGGAATGGCAAGATAACAGGAATAGAATTGCTAAGAACATGGATATCAGTCCTATACTGGTCAACCTGGAAGAAATGACAAAGGACGAGCTGAACTTTTCCATTTCCAAGGTGGATGGATCTGATTATCCATCAGAAACCATGTACAGTTTCGTCATTTGCATTCAATTATATCTAGATACTCTAGATAAGAGATACAAATTTCTCACAGATGAAGGATTCCTTCAAATCAGGAATACTCTGGATAACATTATGAAAGAAAAATCAAAGAATAATGTTGGTGGTCCGAAAAAACAAGCTCTCCCTATTTCTGAAGAGGAGGAGGATGTAATGTGGTCCAAACATGTGCTTGGTGATGATACTCCAGAAAAATTAATCAACACAATGGTCTACCTGATTGGGCTAAATTTTGCTTTACGTGGTGGCCAGGAACACCGAAATTTAAGGAGAGGAGATCGTTCCCAGTTTTGTGTGGGTGAAAATGAGCAAGGCAGATATCTTGCCTATACGGAGGATATTTCTAAAAACAATCAGGGTGGATTAAAACACAGGAAAGTGTCCAATAAGTGTGTAACTGCATATGCAAATGAACAAAATCCGGAGAGATGTGTTGTGCGGTTGTATGAAAAATATTGCAAATTGTGTCCTTTGACGGGTAGTGATGCATTTTATCTTCGTCCATTACAAAAGCCTGATGGAATACAATGGTATTGTAACCAACCGCTTGGCCGACACAAGCTTGCATGCGTAGTTTCGTCACTTTGCAAACAAGCAGGTCTTACTGGATACATGACCAATCATTTCTTAAGAACTTCAGCAGCAACCAGACTATATCATGCTGGTGTTGACGAACAACTAATATCGGAGGTTACAGATCATCTGCCATTCGTAACTATAAGATAACCACGTCCGTTCAAAAGCGGTCAGTCAGTGAAGTGATACAGGGACAAAAAAAAAGATGAATACAGTGATTGCAGTTCTAGCAAAAGCTTCAAATCAAATGCGGGAAAGAGCATTGAACTTACTGTAAATATCAACTTAAAGTGAACTAATTCTCAATTCTTATTCTCAATTCATATTACTCTTTGTATGTATTGTTGTCTTGTTCTGAACGAGTGGAATAAAAAAATAATTTGTCTGTTATATTTCTGAATAAGTCTTAGTTGTCAGTTTTGTAACTAAAAATGTCATTCTTATATCACACGTGAGAAATGACCAAATGCACATGCTTGGAGTACAAATGGCATTATTTTTTAAGTAATGGAGAGTTATTGTTCACATCTCTCCATTCCTGAAAATTAATGTAGAGTTATCACAAAAGATGACATCATCGCTGTATTTTAATCTTAGCTAACGTGCTATTGTACGTCCTAGCCAACCTCCTACTTTATATCCAAGCCGTCTTGCTATTTTACCGTTTACGTGTCATCCTTTATCTTATATCTAATCTCGCCTCTGAGTTTACATGAATAACTTACCTCTTAGCTTACCTCAATGCTTGCATGTACCACCTTGTTAACTTCCATGTACCATCTAAGATATTAAAATAACTGAGCTAGTTAATGATTATCGTCTTAACAAATATTTTCGCTATATTCAGAGGAAATACAACATAACCACATGACATCATTAAATTTGATTGTAGGTTGTGCATCGGGTCATCTTTACTATCCAAGGGTTCTGTTTTCGACACAATTATCCATTCTCCACCGTAGCAATATGTCTGGATAACCGAACTATTCGGTAGTGCCACAGACGTGAATCCACTCTAATTAACAAACAAACGATTGGCAGATACCTTTCCCTTGAAAATTAAAGATAGGCGACATGCCGTGCGACTCATTTGATGTACAGTTGTACATTGGAGGGTCTAAAGGTAGCGCATACAGAGCATTCAATAGTATCATGACACACTCCAGATGTGAAGACAAGATATGTGCATCGAGATCAGAATACTTGAATTTCAAAGATGGCATCTGGTTTCCTTAGTCATACTAAATATTGTGTACCTGTTGACCACTGCGTTGAAACACATGGGTCCCCATTTATTGTTCACTTTCAACCTGTATTGACTTCGATAGGATTGCATGCAGATTTTTGAAAGGATTATTTTCCTTGTTTGGAAATAAAAGATGTTCAAACAATCATTTCCGGAAAATTTATAAAACGTCCAACAATTTAACAGATAATCGATACATAAAAGCTGGATAAGGTAAACGGAATGAAGGTGGGCAGGCAATGTTTATTTTTTAAATACACAATTACGGAAAAGGCATAATATGTTTGAATTCAAGTTAAACGAACTTTTATCTATGATTGTTTAAAATGCACAGAATATAGATGAAACGTATTAACAATGAAAGGATTGGCGCTATACAGTGCAATGAACCTCCATACATGCGGAGGCCTAGACGAATTCATTATATGAGCGCTGTATAACCTGGTAATTATAACATACAACGTTTGACATGGTCACTCTGTCCTTTGTCCCTTTGTCGGTTCATAAATGAATTTTCGACCATGATTCAGTTATAAAGTGCAGCATACCCTTATATAATCACAACATGTCTGGGACAAAATTAAGATGAATTTGAAAAACTGTTTCAATTAGCATAATTGATATGCTTTCAATAAATTCAAATTGACATATTGCAAGTAATCGATTTTTCCTTCAGTTCGTGACTTTCTTCGACTGCATAATTTTGTATTCATATGTAAACTATAACACATGAAGTTAAGTCTGGTGGTAGAATATGCTGGTAGTCTCCGAGAGTTGAGCCTTGAGGACATGAGTGATCTTTTTTAAGTTGCAGTATGGTTGGGTAATTTGGAAACAACAATTCACAACGTTTTTGTTCAAATTTCTGCAAATTTTCAGCAGTAATATCAAGATTATATTATTTATTACTAGTGTTGATATATTGGATACAGCTCAAACACAAACAAAAAACTATTGACAAAGGTAATCCAGGACAAAAGACTGTTGACTGTGATCTTTAGCAAACTCTAGTTTGTTAACTCTCAATGCGCAAGTTTTTGTATTTTTCTACATTTTATTTGCAAACTACTCGTTACTATCAAACTGTATTGTTCAAGGTCGTTAGTTGAGTCGACCCGTCTGACCTGAATGCTTTTGTTACTTCCGTTGCGAAGTTAAACTTCAAAAGGTATTGAACTATGGAGGTCTTTTAGTATGCATGCTAGCACGCAGCTCTTAGCGGAGTAATTCCATAAATAGAAACGACAAGGTATTACTGCAGCAGATATTACAAAAAACTTATAGAAATTACTTCTATTCAGAGTAAATCAAATGCAGATATTTGTAAAGCCAACACCTTTGCCGCTGAATGCAATTCCTCAGCGATCATAAATGGTTCGATCGTAGTTGAACCACATTTACACATGCTTAAATCTGATATGTTTCCATCCGTCTCTTCTACTTGAGACTAAAACATACTCTAAATGATTTCTGATAGGCTAATTTATCTGCCAATTATATACATGTAACTCGTAAAGTCATTCCGTTTCTCAGTTCACTAGAATCGTCAAAATAATATACTGGGACTTGATTATCTTCATAGCCAAACAACATTGCAGAGTAAGCAAAATCAGAATATAATTAATTCACTGTGATCGAATAAATGCTTGAAAAATCAACGATTAAAAATAGTCCCCTCTTCCAAGGACATAAGCGCAATTGCTGCTGGTTCACCATTGTCAGTGCTGGAGTCTATTTCGATAAAGAAATATACAAACTAGGTGCCAAAGATCAATACCAGTTGATAGTTTAGCCTATTTTCCACCTGGATGACAAGTATGTTCCCGTAAAATTACGTAAACTGCCGAAGCAAAAAGGTACAGGTATACAAATATGAAATGACGTTTAGGATTGTTGTCCTGAAAGTCTGGTAGATTCTGCCATCAAATACTGTAGTATGACTGTCACTGTTGCAAAAAGAGAAATCGCATCAACATGTATTCATGAGATGTATTTAATTAATACATGGATCTTGACTTCATACATGTCCATATCATAAAAAGTGACCACGAATAATAATTGTGCTTTATAATGAAATTTTAAGGCAAAACAACACATATTTTTGGGTTATACAGTATTCACCAAAAATGCACTTTCGTGCATTAATTGTATAACCCCAAAACCAATCTGGTTATTCCTTAAATAATCATCTATCACATATAACGTCATTTTCTGTCATCGTCAATGTACTGAGATTGTGAAGGAAATGGGTTTTGCTAGTTCAAATCCGGTATGCGACACTGACTTGGCAACTAACGGTTAACTTTATAAACACAAATAAGGATTTTGAATGTTCCTACTCGGGATTCGCAATTTCTGCAAAGATAAATCTCTTCTGACATCAAAATCCAATATCTTTTCTGAAGATTAATATTCTTCCCAGGACGAACAATGATTAAATAAAATAACTGAGTTTTGTTTGAATTAATGTAGGTTGTTCTTCAAAAATAATTTTATTAATCTTTTAACAAGTGTTCCTTTATAAAGAAATATATTGAATTAATTTTCTACCATAAAATCAAATTCAGAAATGGTTAAGTAATGAGTGTTAGACTGCAACTGCATAGGACACCTTGTTATGGGCAAACATGAATAAGTTTTCGAAAATAATGAGGAAGTTCTATTTAGATGAAGGAAAACCAAGAGGGTGGAAAGAAACTAAAGTGAAAGCTAATAAGTAAAATTTCGGTCACTGTTAAATCGACTTGAAGATGCAAAACATGCATATATCACATATACTAGACTGTATAGACTGTATGTAAACATACAACTGTAACAGCGGAGGCCGAAAAAAACAATATGTCAAACAGAACAAGAGCATCGCGAGCCCGTCAGACCCTCGGGAAAGTAATGTTATTTTGGAAGCAGGTAGTGACATATGCTATTAATGTGTTTACTGCCACCGTTTTGTTAATTACTGTGACCTCGCCATCCTTTTTACTGTGTTTATGGCCAAGCTATTTTGTGTTTCAGAATGATAATTACTTTGTCAATGTTGCTATTACAAAAACTAGAAACTTGGCGTTGAGGTACAGGAGTCTTGAACAAATCATTAAAAAGTTGTTGCATTCTCGACGGAATACCCTTATTGGGCAATGCAAAGGGGCATTACTCTGCCAAATAGCGTTCAAATGTGACGATTTAAGAACTCATTCAAAACATCCAGGAAGGGAAACAACCAAGTAGTTTAATAAAAATCGGAAAACATTTGTTTGAGTTATCGTGTAAACAAGCAAAAGTAAACGACATATACAAATGTACACTTGTAATATTAGGTGACTTATTTGTTTTCCACCAGAGTTTGTCCTAATCCTTTTGGCCATGCCTTTACTTGTAATCTCAGCACTGTCGATAATAACAAGCTTCCTGGTTTGTCTTACCAATGATTTTGTGAAGCACATTTCAAATTCTTATCAATGTTTCCAAGAGCTATACTAAAAATAAAAAAATCATCGACAAATACAGAGAGATATTCATGCCATTGGCTTTAAAACTTATGCAGATTCGAATATCTAGGTTGGGTATGATTAGGAATATCAATATAGTCTAGTTTGCTCGATCTTTTTATCAGAATATATTTATCCAATTACAGACAATTCTGTAGTCTTACCACCCGACAACTTCCTGATGTCAAAAACCATTTTCCGATAACCATGACAAGTTTGCAGCCTCATGTTGTCATCTAGCAAACCTCTTAGTGTTAAACAGGTATGTGGCCTTACCATCTGACAAACCTGTATGTAACCACAGGTATACGGTATTCCGTATGTAGAAATAACCATTCATCCGATCTCCATGTCACATATGTACTTACCATACGACAAATCTTGCTAAGCCACGTTATTTTTGTTTGCAATTACTACCTAGAATATTGCTCACGCAAAGAGCTCCTTCAAATAGCACTGGTTGCCAATCATTCCTTCTAAAACATACACAAACGACGTTGTCTAGAGACAAGACACAGTTTATCATATCTGAATATTTTGTTGTATCAACAAATACTGAGAACTTGCGCACTGTCAAATGATTGTCAATGCCGATACAATTCGTTTTTGTAGATTCCAAAATATATTTCATCAAACACACCATAAATGTTACTCTGTGGTTTAAATGTTCACCACTTCCAAATCATCCGGTTATCACAGTGCTATTGGCAAACAATTAAACTATGCATTATTTATATTTAACTTTGATTAAGTCATCCTTAAAATAAAGTAATGCCTTGAGGATTTGCTTTGACGTAAACAATTGAAAAAAATCGTTAACACTGTCCCAAGTGGAAACCCTGCATCTCAAATATTTAAACTGATGTTCTGCCTAATTGGGTTAATTGTTCAACGGTAGCGCGGGAACGCGTTGGCCAATTGATTAAGGCGTCTGGCATTCTGCTACAACTAGCCCTGCTCCACTGGATCGCAGGTTCGAGACCTACATGGGGCAGTCGCCAGGTACTGGCCGTAGGTCGGTGGTTTTTCGCCCGATAACTCCTCATTTCATAATCCAGGCCGTGCTACAGTAATATCCAAAGCAAAATAAAGGGAAGGTTACTCTATTTATGGAAAAAAACAATATTGTGAGTGTTTAAGTGTTGTATCGGGAGTTGGATATTGAACTTTAAAAAAGAAGAGGCATCAGCCTTCTATTTTTAAGCCTTATACCTTGACTTTTGCCTCAGTATGGCACTTATGCTCGCTTTACTACCATGCTTATGATACGTGTGACGATTTTGATTTCTCAATCGTTGACATAGGTCTGGAAAAATGCGCCGTGTAACCAGTTATACAGATTTCTGAGAGGTTTCCATCTGCGACGCAGACATTTTAACTGTCGCCACCTTGACCTGATCTCCAACTATGATATTTAAGTATTGATCGTTCATAAAGACTTTGTCGCTTTGGTTTAGATTGTCGATATTCTACATACGTCCCTTGATTCGACTGGAGGTATCATGTCGTTTGCAGTATGTGTTGACGGGAAACCTAACTTGTATACATCACCTAGTTTCACTGTTTTTGTTGCAATGTCTTTCCATGTCTGATACGATTTCTCAGTTTTTGGTTATGTTGGCTTTATTGCTTTTTGTATTGAAACTAGTTTCCAAACTTATCGGGGTTTTTTAAAACGAAAACGCGTGACAGGTTAATCAGAATAATATCCACCAATATTTCATTACATACTTAACTTTGTATTGTTGATAATTGGCTAATGAATGAGACGTGTGTCAAACAATGTAAACACACCTTCCCTGATACACAGAACTAATTAACTATTGATAACAGTAGATCAGTACACATTCCCTTTTCACAGCGTTATTCAAACTGCATATCAATACGGCATAAAGTTTTCAAAGCAGTACACATAAGGTATCGCAGTATATATGACACAGCATACACACTTTTATCAATAAAACAACTAGTCTATATCTAGACATTCTGACTTTCCTCGGAAAACCTGAGGTAGATTGTAGAATATATATTTTGTATCTATATTTAAGAAAAGCTCAAAATTGCTTATTTCTTTCGTAGCGTATCAGAATGCGTATTATGCTAGCTTTACAGGGAATAGTTTCAAGTTATTTTCTCTCACACAGCATGCGACCTACAGCGTATATTGGTGTTAGAAGTTATTCTTTCTACTGTAAAACATGAATTCAAACTCAACCTTGAAAAAAACTTTGCCTGTTTTCCTGCACAACGCATTAATTACTTAAATCAAAAGAAATGATTATGTGAACTTTTTATTTCCATAAGTTTTGCTTCCAAATATATTACATCCCATGTCATAAGTGTCATTTTCTTTGATGATTCCATGGTATTTTCCATTTCATCTCCGCAACACTGTTTCAACCCGATACATACAGATTGGGCTTTATCAAAATTGAGTATGTAGACTGGACAATTTAATATTAAAGTCGAACAAATTTACAGCTAAACAACGATGTCGAATACTTTTCATACTGACT